ATATAATAAATATACTTTTAATACGCATATTATATTCTTACGGCAAAAATAAAGGGCCTTTAACTATTGGTTTTAGCATTTTTCCATGGGCAAACGTTTTCCATGAATAGGTGATTCCTTAGTCAACAAACTTTCTCTCCCGATCTACAAGTTTAGTTTAGTGTCATGAGACATGTAAAATGGAATCTAAGAAAGCATTTTCTCTTCTTTTAATGCATTCAATCACTAAAACGTTGGAAACCTGTAAAGACCCCACATCGTGTATTGGACGCTTGTTAATTTTGCCCAAATTACGCTCCGCTGCGCAAGCTTCTCCAATTATATATACACTCAGTCTCTGTTTACCAGCCCAACAAGGCAACAACCTCCCATAATTACGATTTAAGCATATATCCCTTTGTAGTTCTCTCACAAAATGTTGAAATCTTTGGCTTCTTTCTTCCATGGATTTTCATTGCCGGAATCAATGAAATTCAGAGAACCCAATTGTACAACAACAAGGTTTGTATACAGAGATGAATTGAATAAAAAGACGCCACCTTCAACCATGGCGAGAGGCACGCCCAAGAAGGGTCGTGATTGTAGCACTGCAACTGGTGCAGTGGAAGAGAAAGTGGCGGCCTCGACTGTGATGAGAGTGAAAGTGAAGATGACAAAGCAAGAGGCCGCGCGGTTGCTGGCAAAGTGTAAAAAAGGAGGGGTTCTTGAGTTCAGGGACGTGGCACGGGCACTGGTGGAAATTCCGGCCAGTCGTATTAGGATTGTGGAAGGGAACCTTACAACTACCGTTACCAGAAAAAGTACAGTGCTTGACAGTATTCCTGAATAGTTTTTAGGCTGTTTTTTTATTCTTCTTATGTTTTTTTTTTTAAATTATTTTTTAAAAAATACAATGTATTTGTACTGTTGTGTTTGATCAACCTGGTTTCACGGATGGTATCCGTCAAACCTGTAATTAGTGAAAAAAAAAAAGAAAATACACTTTTCGGTGACGACCTTTGTCTTTGATTATAGAAATCAAAGTCCACAGAAACTGCATCAAATCAGACCCAAATCTCGAGGTTATTGATGGAGAAATGCATTTGGGTTAGGTGACTAAAGCATAAGACTCTGTCAAACCAACTACTACTCGAGAAAATTTAAGGCATCACTTCTCTGTTTTTTTCCTTCTTCCAAAATCCTCACTTTTCTTCCTTCTTCCAAAATCCTCACTTTTCTTCCTACAAAACGATGATGAATAACCTGTAATTTGAAGGCCAAAAAAGGAAAAAAAACTTGTAATTTGAAGTGATTTTTGAGCACTCACGATATATATATATATATACTAGTTTGAACCCCCATCAAAAAATGAAAAGAAATTTCGGTGAGAAAGACAAACTTCATCACATATCAAAGGCATCGCTTACAAAATCAAGTGCCATATATAGCTATATTGCTAATTATATTCAAAACTATTGAGTCAATACATCATCCCTTTCTATTTCGAAAAACAAATAGATGGTAATAAACATGAGAAAGCTTCTAAATTTGGGTCATCGCCCAAACCAAAATTCCAGAATCAAGGAGATCATCAATTCATCACAATGACTTGAGACCTTGATTTCTACTACTCTTAATTAATTAGCATAAAAGTACAAAATAGGACAAAAAGGTAAAGAAGAAATAGAGCAAGAAGAAAAAAAAAATGAAGATTCATCATCTATCCCTTTCAGGCCCTTCAGGGTCCTCCATGATACTCTCCAATGAAGGTCTCCATCCTGCAACCTTCTCTGATCTCACTTTCTCAACTTCTTCCAAAACCTCTTCTAAGCTCTTTCCTCCATTATCCTTGAGCTTAAGCAACAACACCTCTAACTCCTCCTTTGAAACCACTATCTTCACCTTCACGCTACTTTTCCCAACCCCACTTTCCTTCACTTGTTCCTCCAGAATTTCCTCGGTTTCTTCCTTTGCTCTGCTTTGCCACAGGCAGTTCCCCATGATATTTCGGAGCAGGAAAGCCATTTCCCTCTGCAAAAACCAGTAGGTTTTAGTAGATCAACAGTTTCGACAAGCGGATTAGAACCTTTTGGTAGAGAGCAGGATAACAAACCAGGGTTTGGACATGTGAACTCTAAAGCACGTACGGGATGGTATTTATAGGCGGTATATGTCCCTTTTGATCAGGGGCAAAATTATTGTTGAAGATTTGAATTTTTAATATTATTTTTTTATGATATTAATTTTTTTTTAATTTTTATTTTTTATTAAAAAATCACTTGTACTTTTTTTATTGGTATATGCTTAATAAAAAAATAAAAATATCACAATAATAAATTATGTAATGTCCCTTTTGATCAGGGGCAAAATTATTGTTGAAGATTTGAATTTTTAATATTTTTTTTATGATATTAATTTTTTTAATTCTTATTTTTGTTATTAAAAAATCACTTGTACTTTTTTTATTGGTATATTCTTAGTAAAAAATAAAAATATCACAATAATAAATTATGTAATGATCAATTAAAAAATAAATAAAAAAGAGAAATATGTTTCTTAGTTGAATTTTTAAAAAATTAAGAGAAAAAAACACAAA